ATGCTAATACAAATGGCATATAGAAATTATTTATTGAACATATCACCTCAATACCAACACAGCATATACAACGAGCGAAGGTTTGTATTTTAAATAAGATTTGTTTGTCGAATTTTTTAATTTTTTGTTTTTTTGTATCATGTTTTTTGCCGGGTAGATGATTTGATAATCATTGATCATCAAAGACCAAAAAGAAAGTTCGTGACGAAAGGATTTTTTTTTTTTTTCTGGCAAAAAATCGTGTTCAATACTTGTGAGTGTAATACATAACTGATAAAGTACATGGCTAGTGTTAACCTTGTGATATATTATTACGCGTTTTATAGCTGTGTTGGTATTGAGGTGATATGTTCAATAAATAATTTCTATATGCCATTTGTATTAGCATTATCATTCTAGCTAAGCTTTATCAAAAGCCTTACACTTATCATGTACTTGTATATAATAAATGTTATACTGATTATGCTGAAACCAATAACTTATCGAATTGGCCAAATAATAATTCGGTTAATTTTTTACCAGATGTTCCAAAAATAATGAAAACAGCTGTAAATAGATAGTAATGTTTAAAAACATCTTCGGCATACTCAATTGTTGACTCGTTAAATAAATAAAATATAGTGATACAGTAATAAAATTTAAACATTGCCGAGCGAAGCGAGGAAAAATATAATAAATATAAAACTGGGCTTGAATTGAGGCTGAAAGTTATTGCATTGGTTATTTTCAAAACTAGCTCTATATATTTGTGTTCTATTTCATTAAAAAGAGAGAATTTTTAATGAAGTTTAAATCTTAATCAAATAAAACATTGATTTACTGATTCACTTGATCTTCTAATTATTAGTTAGCTAAAACTGAATGGCAAAGCCTCCCGTATATATAAGTTTTAGTATCTATGCTTAAATTGCCTCTACATTATTGTGAATCTTGATTAAGATATTAAGTTAGCAATTAATGATTGATGAAATATGGTAAAAAATGTAGAGTTTAAAACCTAGCCGAGCGAAGCAAGGCCAAACCATAGAAAATACAACCTCAAGCAAAGCCAAGAACTATGAAAAAAAAACAAATAGAATACCACCTTAATATATATTTTTTGATTCCAATTAATCATGTATTATCAAATTGTCAGTGTCTGTTAATACCATATACTGTTATATCTAATTATTACACTAATTAATGATGCATATTATCAGAATTTGGTGGCAAAGCCTCCACATGTGCAAGTTCTAGTTGGAAATACTAAATATGGGGCTAAGCGGAGCAGATTCTTATAATATATTTTATTGAATTAACTTTAGGGTTAGGGTCATCTTATATTGGGTTGGGTTAGGTTTTAGATAGTTATATATAAGCAAAATTGCCTTTCAGACATTTTTAATTAACCCACCCAAGGTAGGTTTAGACTGCCATTTTTGTATTTTCAGGTTTTTCATTAAAATTCTATAATTTGATTCATCAGATATCATGTCATTTTGCACCGCTTTAGACGACCCCAAATATAGAAAAATCTCAGACTGTACTACACAAAACAAAATATACTCATCAATTTTTCTTTCCAACTGTAAAATATACAAAATTATTTATAAATTTTATTAATGAATATCTCTACTAGAAATCCATTCAATTCTTTGAAAGTAAAAAGGGTCACACTGTTTATATCTTCAAAATAACTAAGAAAAGTAAATCCTATAATCTTAATATTTTTTACATCATCCCCTTTCTAATCATAAAATGATAAAAAACATAATGATTATGAAATAGCGAAGATGAACTAGCGAAATGAAATAGCGATAATGATAAAAAAGTAAAAATATATAGATATATAACAAAATAAAATGGAAATTCTAACGGTAATTTTCATGTACTCCTAAAGCAGACATAAAATTTAAAATATTATAAATTCAATATTTTTCTTAGCTCATGTTTTCCTTACATGTAATATTATTTTTGTATATCTCTTTACTTACTGCAAAACAGCAGATCGGTTTTCTAACTCTCTAACCTCTTTTTGTTTATCTAGCAGGTTTTGTAGTTCTTCTGGGGTAAACTTAGTTTGCAAAAGAGTTTTGCAAGTAACCAGTTGTCCCTGTAACTACCCTCGAGTATAAGAATTATTGCTCTCAATTCCTGATTCAATAATTTGTTCGTTAGTCTGTAAGAAAAGAACTAAAATGGAAGTTAAGCTATCCCCTGCTTTACTTTTAGCGGCAGATATTAATTGTTCAAAGCTATTTTTTTGCTTTTGAAAATAAGGATTAAAATCTTTCAATTTAAGTCTTTTAATTTCTTGTCTTAGTTTATCAAAATCAAGTTCAGTACAGTTCAAAGCTATGTTATTTAGTTCTTGAAATTGGTTAAATGTAGATGTTTGTTGAACCTTTGTATTTAAGTCGGCTATGGTTCGATCCTTTTGGGCTATAGTTTTGTTTTTTGGGGCTATGGTTTGATCTTTTTGGGCAAGAGATTGTTTTAAATTTGCAACTTCAGTCTCTAATTTTTTATCTTCAACTAATATAGATGATACCTTTGTATTTAAGTCAGCTATGGTTTGATCCTTTTGGACTATAATTTGATCTTTTTGGGCTATAGTTTGATCTTTTTGGGCTATGGCTTGATCATTTTGGGCAAGAGATTGATCTTTCTGGGCTATGGTTTGATCTTTCTGGGCTATGGCATGATCTTTTTGGGCAAGAGATTGATCTTTCTGGGCTATGGTTTGATCTTTATGAGCTATGGTTTGATCTTTTTGGGCAAGAGATTGATCTTTCTGGGCTATGGTTTGATCTTTATGAGCTATGGTTTGATCTTTATAGGCAAGAGATTGTTTTAAATTTGCAGCTTCAGCCTCTAATTGCCTTAATTTGTTATCTTCGACTAACATATATGGTATAAATGGTT